TGGCAAGTTTGCCGTGTGGAGCTGAAGATGCAACACGTGGGTAGTTCTCTACATCAGGGTCCCTAAGGTTTAGGGTTTAGGGTTTAGGGTTTAGGATTTAGGGTTTAGGGTTTTAGGGTTTAGGGTCCCTGTTTAGGTCCCCAATATAGTACGGCACCCTTATAAAAAGGACCCCACAAGGGACCCTAATTTAGAAAACTACAGTACCCACATGTTTCTAGTGAGCACAGGTAATTGTAATGAGCGATACCAGTGGCAACAAGACTGAGAAGGACAGCAGCAACAATATAAACATAGGGGCAAGACTCATAAGACAACCCGATAGGAAGTCACTATTGCAGCGGCTCGGCATCTGCGCTTCCCATACGGCTTTAGTGATTGTGTTAGTTCCCGACTCGGCGGCTTCAAGGGCGGTAGCAATGCAGCTTGAGGGCTCGGGATCTGTTTGCGGTCTTGAGCATTCTGGACAGGCCCCCCTGTAACATTTAATACATAATGCATAGAGTATAGCATAGAGTATTATTTATAATACATGATATAATTATTGTATATTTAGTACCAGTATCTCCCTTTTTCACGCTGGGAGTCTCAGCTGGTGGCAGAGCGCGGACAGCGCTTCGCTGCAGCGCATGTGCATGCGGAGGTCGGGAGAAACCAGGGGATCTGCACGGGTCTCCCCGATGTTGACCAGGGCCACCGGCTTTTTGGCCTCCACGGCCCTTAATTAGGGAATATACCTTAAATCATAATATTCAGGGCCCTATAATTTGAGGTACATTTCTTAAATCATTGGCCTCCGCCGCGAGGCGGACCAGCGAGAAGGCGCTGAAGACCTTGGCGGAGGTTCCCATCACCAAGAGAGCCTCCGCTCCTCGCAGCGCCTCCTGGGCCTTGAGCTTCACCGAAGACTCCAGGGAGCCGCCAAAGAAGACCACCCGAGGCTTCCAGACCCCCCCACAGGCTTTGCAGGGAGGCACCACGAAACCGTCGAAGCTGCGGACGTCCAGGTGGGCATCGCCGTCGGCGCGGATGTCCATGACCTCCTGCGGGGGGAGGAAGGCATCCATCCACGCGGCGTTCACTTCCTCAAGCTCCAACTGGTAGCCGGCCCGCGGACGCGTGCGAGAGCAGGTCAGGCACATCACCTTGCACGGCTTGGTGGTTTAGGGTTCATCGGGGCAAGCAGGCCAAGCACACAGCATCAAAAAAAGAAACGAAACCAGGCCTTCTTTTGCCGATGCCAAGAGAAGACCTAGCAAACCCTGAAACCCTAAGCCCTAAAACCCTAGACCCTAATCCCTGTAAGCCCTAAACCTAAGCCCTACAACCCTATACTAAACCCTGTGCCTGGTCATTGCGCCCGTGGAGGTCGATCACATTCTGAGACCCTGCCCTCTGATGTAAACCGTCAACATTCTGAGTGATCACCGCCTGCACGTACCTTCAGGGGGTGTACGATGGGGTCTCCAGAAACCCCCAACATCCTGCAATCAAAAATTCCGATTCCTGTCTACATTACATGATAACCCAAAATTCAAAACCCGAAACCCTAAGCCCTAAACCCTAAACCCCAAACCCCTGGACGCCTCAGCCCAGGCTCTTCCTCCAAACTCCTGAGCCTGGAACCGATCGACCCCGAAGCAAAAGCCCTCTCCTCCGAGACACGTCGAGACACCAATAGCTTAAACTGAGGGTTTAGGTGTTTAGGTGTTTAGGCGTTTAGGGTTTAGGGTTTAGGGTTTTTTTTAAGGTTTAGGGTTTAGGGTACCATCCAAAAAATAAAGCGAAAGCATGAGACGGCTCGAGGTACCCGGCGTCTTCCAACACCCCCAGCGCTCGGTGCGCAGAGTTCGGAGCCGCACCGTCGAAGTAGCGCCAGCCCCTGAAAAAGCTTTTCGGGTCTGGGGCTCAGGACTTGGGTTTAGGGTTTAGGGTTTAGGGTTTAGGGTTTAGGGTTTCAGGGTGTAGGACTTATCTCTGTGCCTTAAGTGTTCTGCAGCTTAGGGTACAGGGCTTAGGGCCTTAAGTTTATTTGGGCTGGGGCTATGTTACGAACTTAAGTTTAGGTGTGGGGGGGTGGGCCTTTGGGTTTGGTTGTACGATGGCCTCATGGTTTGGGAGCTTGGGGGTTCAGGATTTGTTCTTTCCAAGGCTTTGTGTCGCTTGTGGTGTGGACCTTATGTTAGGGCTGTGGAACTCTTTGGGTTCGGGATTTAGGGCATTGGGTGGTTTCGGGATTTAGGGTTTGGAGTTTGGCCTAGCTTGTTCACAAGCTAGGGTTCAAGTCTTGCTCTTTGGTTCCGCGAGCGCCTGAGGCTTCGGGGGCGTTTCGGGGGCATTTCGGGGAACCAGGCGTCCTGAGAGAGCGGGCCCAGTAGCGCCGGCGGTTCAAGCAGCTGGACACGAACTCCTGGGCGGAAGCAGATGGACTCCTAAGAGAACTCGAGACCTACCCTACACCACTAAAGACCGATATCCTCAAGAACTCTAGGAACCCCAAGAGCCTTTCCTAAGAACCGCCTGCGAATGCCAGGAACAGTAAGAACATACGTAAAGAACTCCCAAAAACTCCTTTAAGCCCCTAAACCCTACACCCTAAACACCTAAACCCTAAACCCCCTAAACCCTGAACCCTAAACCCTAAACCCTAAACGCCTAAACACCCTAAACACCCCTAAGCCCTTCAGCCCCGAGCTCCTGGTGGGTCATGGGCTTGTGGCCCTTGGAGTAGGACCCCTGGGGGCTTCGGTAGTCCGGGATCCCGGACTCCGTGGAAAATCCCGCGCCCGTCAGGCAGACCAGCCTCAGGGGCTCTTAGTAGGGTTTAGGTTTTAGGGTTTAGGGTTTAGGGTTTAGGGATATTGGAGTCTCTGGGCTCTTAGTAGGGCTTAGAGAACCCTAAAACCCCTAAACCCTTATAGGGCTTAGAGAACCCTACAAACCCGAAGTCCTACAAGGGCTTAGGTACCCTAAACCCTACAGCCTCATAGGGCTTAGGTACCCCAAACCCTTAAACCCCTAAACTCGAGGCTTGGTTTAGACATCAGCGTTTGGAGTGCCGGTTTAGGGTTTAGGGTTTAGGGTTTTCGAGGGCTTGTGGGTTTAGGAGCTTGGCTTGGGGCGTTCGGCTTTTGCGGGGTTAGGGATTGTTCCTCTTCCCCTTTCAAGTACCTACAGCACATAAAGGGTCGGGGAACCACGCGTAACAAATAAATATGCAACCGTCATAAAGCTTTCATAAAACCCAAAAACGAGCCCTGGACAGCAAGAACCCGCCCTGATGACAAGGACCCCACAAAACCCTGGGCAGGAGCCCACCTTAAACCCTAATGCCTCAAACCTGAACTTTGAAACCGCTCACTAAACCCTAAACTCAAAATCCTAAACCCTACTCGAAATCCTCCTTGAAGGAGCTGCCGAGTCGCGATCCGCGCGACGTCTGCGCAAACTGGGCCAGGCGCTCTGCTGCTTGGGTGCCGACCTGGTTTTGGGGGCTTTCGGATAGGGTTCAGGATTTAGGGTTTAAAGTACTTCCACAGTTGTAGCTAGCCAAAATACCAGTGTACGACTTACAACTGCGTACCCATGAGCCTTCAGGCCGGGCTGGAGTTCGCGGACGGGTCTCATTTGGGGAAGATCCCTACAGGCCCTATAGGGTGAAGCAACAATATTTCCGGAATGCTAGGGCTGTAGAGCTTGGGGATGTAGATGGATGTCGTAGATGGATCTTGATGTGGATGCATGTAGTCGAACCCATGTGTTCCGATCCACAGATCTGGATTCAGCGTGGAGCCTACACAGCAAAACCAAAGCAGCGGAGCTACTGGCATCCCCGTGGGGGCAAAGCACGGGCGCGACCGGGTCGTTTCGGCCGCTGCCACTGCCCGTCGCACCATGGCCGCCCGCATGATTTCGGGCTTCGGGTCACAGGTTCGGGCGACCGGCTGTTCGGTTCGCGGCTTGGCGGTTTCGTCGAGGCTTCAAAGCGCAGGCTTCGGAGTTGAGAGTTTGGAGTTCAGGGCGTCGGCTTCAGGATTCGGGGTAGCTGAATTCAACGCTTCGCCGTGATGGAGTGGCTGTGACGACCTCAAGTGACTCTAGCATCGGCCATACTAGGACACGATTCCGCTGAAGTCTAGCGACTCTAGTGACTCAGTGTGCTCCCTAGGCAGCTTGCTAGATCAAGCTCTGTCACGTTCTTCTCCGCACCACTCCCCCCCTATTGCGTTTTGCTTTGGTCCAACCGATTCAGCTGCGAAGAGATACTCTATTTCAGTGTACTCTAGCCAGCCAGGAATTCCCAAACCGGAAACTGCAAACGGCTCCTCCTGAACCCGAGCCGGGAGCATCCTACGATCCCAAGTAGCTCAGAGGATTTGAGGTTTAGAGCTCCCCTAAACCGAAAACACAAGCAAAGAAGCTGCTCCGGGGCTTGCCTTGATCAAGCCGATGGTATTTGCGGCAGCCTGTGGGATTTTGGAGACGCGTAGCTCGGGCTATTTTCTTGCCCGCAGCCCGACATTTCTTAGGTCACCGCATGCAAAGATCTGCAACCCGTGCCTTCACGGCTTTCTTTTGAATTTTGAGTTGACGAGGTGCAGTAAGGGATTGCACAGATGGATTGGGATGAGACCAGGGAGTGTAAGGTGCGAACGAAACGCCGAGTCAGTGCATGGGTCGCTCAACTCTTGAGGCAAAAGATATACGTGGAGCTTCCATGGTGTGTAGGTGTTAAGCCTTAAGACAGACCTAACACCAGCAATGTGCTATCTAAATGACTTTAGGGCAGGCACCGACATGATCCGATATTTCTCGATGTGTAGTGTACCATGTGACGTCTTCCTAAAACGGCGTGTTGCCCTGAACCAAAGACGATGTGAGGATTGCTCTAGCTCTCTGTCCCTTCAAGACTATAGACTCTTGGCGGAAAATTTGCTGTCGAATACCTACGAACGATGGGTTCCACTTCGGAATAGCCAAACCTCTGAGGCCAGTCAAAATGTCCTCGAAAGCCCTCCGAAACTCGGAAAATGT